TTCCGCTTCCCCTTTCTGTGTCAGCGCACTGCAGCTCCAAGAGTCTGAAGAGAGCCCAGCTCACATCGGATCTATATGCACTTGAGTTGGACCGTTCTTGCTGTAAAATTACTTTTTGATATACAGCTCTTTCCTAGACATATGAGTGTCCTTGGATTTGTTTCTCTAGACAACCCAGCCGAACACCAAAAGTGAACATAATTGGATCTTTCTTCATACAGTGACTCAAAGCCATCCAGTTGGTGGACTTACTATAATTATGAAGGGGCTTTAAAAGGCTGATGGAAAATGGAATGAAAAGATAAGGGAATTTTGTCCATCAAACTTATTAACGCCCCCTCCTACAGGTGCTCTTCAGACACGGAAGAACATTTAAGTTTCAAGTATCATCGTTGTTGGGATCCACGGTGTCCACTGTGGACTCTTATCGAACCCTATGTGTCATAGTGTAGAACTGCCGCACAGGGTTTCATAGGCTGGAATCTTTACAGATCACTGAGCTTTCCTCCTACAGAGCATCTAATGCAGCAGTTCTCAACCTATGGGTCGAGACCCCTTTGGGGGTCGAATGACCCTTTGACGGGGGTCACCTGATTCATCACAGTACCAAAATTACAGTGATGAAGTAGCAACGAAAATAATTTTATGGTTGGGGAGGGTCACCAAAGCATAATGAACCGTATTCAAAGGTCACAGCATTACGAAGGTTGAGAACCACTGATCTAATGGGTTTGAATCACCAAAACTCAACCATTGCATCACCAGGGCTCCTGACTCCTCTGCTGAGATCCTAAACTGCCTTACCATAGCCTGTGTATTCTTGAGTCCATCCACCTTTAGGTCCTGCACCCTTACTGTCTCGTATAAACTTCCCTTCATATGGATTCCTCTAGCCGTAGTGCACAACGTCCCACTACTAGCTAGATGACGAGATCATAAATCTTGCAAAGATGACCTAAACTTAGAGAAGTGGTCAGCTCTGCCTAACAACCCATGGAGTTATTGAATGAGCCATTTCACGAACTTGGAGCAGTTGTTTCACTATCGTTTCTCCTCTCTGATGAAGAGAGTTCAAGTCATGGAAGAGGCAACTTCCAGAGAAGGGAAGTGTTGCTATGTTCTGAAGAGTACAATATCTTCCCATACAAAGTCAGAGGCGCCTTGAAGAAGGCTGGAATCACCTGACAGACAGGCACACCTTGAGCATACTCTAAATCCTGGATAATCCAAGGGGGAAGTCTTAAAGAAATCCTGCAAATAAAATGAAATTCAGGGCTGGAAACTATCGAAGTGCTGGAGTCGAGGTGAAACGTGTAGTGTTCTAACCCATTTTTCTTCACATGGACCACAAATCCTGCAATGGCTCAAGTTTATTTGACTTCAAGCACCTTAAAGAACAAGGGAACCCATAGCACAGGGTGGCCCAGAAGAGGCTGTGGCACCAGTGAGTTTCCTCGTGTAGAAAACGGGGATAATTACAGGGCACACCACATAGGGTGCCAGGAAAAATAATGAGATCACTGTGTAAAAAGTAAACATCCTGTAGTAGGCACTTGATACATTTCCACTACTACTATCATCATCATCCTCATTATTATGAGGCAGAAGAGAAGAGAAAGAGAAAAGAAATCCTACTTGTAGTGGAGTTTTTCCAAAAGAATTAATTAAGCAGAAACAAAAAGTGACTGTGCTGTCCCATTTTACTAAGCACATCTAAGTAAATTAAATTGAGGAAGCGAGGCAATGCTAAGATTGAAAATAAAGAACAACATTTTTTTAAATGCTTCAATCATTATCAAAACAACATTAACACTAGAGCACTCCAACCACTGTAGCAAAGGGCCCCAGGCTCATTTACGAGGGCAAAGGCTTCCTGCAAACAAAGCCATAAAACCCAGATTGAGACAGTAGGGATTGCCCGGGGAACTGTGCACATATTTGCAGAAAGTACTCACCGCTTAAATACCCGCGATGTGGCCAACTGAAGGAGTCCTAAAGAGATTATGGATCTAGGCCAAGATCAAGATGAGATTTCAACTTCACGTGGTGTTGAAAACAGCTCCCAAAGCCAGCACATCACACGTCATGTGAGCAAAGTATTGGGGCAATTGGTTTCAATCACTGGGTCTACCACAAGTTTGGGGAGGGGAACACTTGTAAAGAGGGGCGGGGGGAGCATGTGGTCCTTCCCCAATTCTGAATGATAGCAATACAAAGTAGTTAGAAGCAAAAAATGAAATGCTGTATATACTCAAGTATAAGCCAACCGGAATATCAGCTGAGGGGCCTAATTTTACCACAGAACTACACTAAAAATGTGCTGAAAAAACTCGGCTTATATATGAGTATATATGGTAGATGCTTTTCTTAGTAATTAACACTACATCTACATTTAGCACTCGCTGGGTTGCCCACAGGAGCCCTGGTGGTGTAGTGGTTATGAGTTGGGCCACGATCTACAGATTAACAGGCTCCAAACTACCAACTACACCATGGGTGAAAGACGGGGCTTTCTTTCTCCCATAAAGACTTACTTACAATCTTGAAAACTCACAGGGGCAATTCTACTTTGCCCTATAGAGTCACTATGAATTGGCATCCACTGGATGGCAGGGAGTGTTTGGGTTGCCCCTACATTTTTGTCTTGTTTCTTCAAGTATTTGTTACAGTAAGACG